TTTTAATTTTTCTTTTTCTAGAATCCAGTATTGCCAATGAGAAGTGTTCCAAAATGATTCTTAATCTTTTGTAGATGAAGTTTTTATTTCTTGTCAGAGAGCTTTCTAGGATCTGTTTATTGTTATTATGAAATTTCACTGAATATGAATATGTTTTAAAATTTGTTCATTTCATTGGATTCCCTCAGACCTGTTTCTGTTTGAAGATTGTTTTAGGATTATTTTCTTGTGTTATTTCATGGTTAATTCCCCATTTTTTTCTCTTTCTTGAATTTCTGTTAATTGGATGTTAGATTGATTGTGCCTTTTTCTTGTTTTCATCTTTTTCTTTGTGCCTTTGTTTTACCTGTTTTGGAATATTTTCTTGGATTTGTCTCCACCTCTTCAAAAAACAGTAAGATATTTTGTAAGACATAAACTTTAAAAACTTTAAAATTTTCTCACTTCTTAAAGCATTCTGTCCTTTTAGAAACTTTACATCTCTTGAGGATATACATTTGTGCGTGCATTTTAACTTTTTAATTTTGAAGTAATCACGAAGTTGTAGAAATGTTAGATGTATAGCACAAATAATTTTTTTCCTGACTGATATCTTTCATACAAGTATTTTAGTGTATTTTTTTTATAAACCAGGACCATATCACAATACAACCATAACATTTAAGAAATTAACATTAATTTGTAATCTGTATGGACTCATGGCTTATTTTATTCAGTGGGGTATATTCTTTTAATTTCATTATTTTGATGCTCAAAATGGCCTGATTTGGCCAGTAAGGACCCTTTTGATATCACTTCTGTGGGTCAGTTTGATACCATTTCATTTTTTTGACAACTTCCTTACTTTCTGGCACAACAAAATGTTCCAGGCTAATCTTATACTTTTCCTGCTTAGCCTTGGAATTGGCCATTTTCCTAAAGAGTCCTGATTCCTTTTAGTAGTAGGTGGTGTTTATGAAGTCTTGGCATTTGGTTTGCTTATTACCATTGGAATGTTGCTGGTTTCAGATCCATTCATTGGACAGAGCTAGGGTGTATGTGTATATGTGTGTGTGTTGATTATATGTGTATCTGTATATATGTACATGTATACATATATTTGTATCTGTTTATTTCTCCATGTTATGTATTCAAAACTGTTAAGTTCATGCTGATACTGCTCATTACAATTCAATATCACAGGATTGAAAGTAGCTTTTTCCATATATGTTTGTAACTCCTTTCCCTGACATAGAGAAACTTAGCTTCCATTATCCTTGAAATATTTAAAATTTGGTTAGTCTCCCTGCATGTAACCATTCTCCCATCTCTGTTGTTACTCCCCACCCTTGCTTACCCTTTCTCCAAGTAGTTTTTCAGTTTATGATGGGTCTTTCATGATCAACTATTGTCTGCTCGTAAGAGTAAATAATAAATGGATAAAAAGCTAATTGGGAACTCTGTTTATGTGGGTAGGAGTTAAGAGTTTTGTTGTTGTTGTTTTTGAGACAGTCTTGCTCTGTCGCAATGGCGTGACCTCAGCTCACTGCAGCCTCTGCCTCCCGGGTTCAAGCCATTCTTCTGCCTCAGCCTCCTGAGTTGCTGGGATTACAGGCTCCTGCCACTATACCTGGCTAATTTTTGTGTTTTTGGTAGAGACTGAGTTTCACCATATTGGCCAGGCTGGTCTCGAACTCCGGACCTCGGGTGATCTGCCCACCTCAGCCTCCCAAAGTGCTGGGATTACAGGCCTGAGCCACTGTCCCTGCAGATGTTAAGAATTTTATTTTGAAATTAGCAAGTCAGGAACTGCCCATTGCTTTGGGGGCCTCTGAATTTCTCAGTATTCATTGCTCTGAGAAACCAGCATTCATCCATAATAGCTGTACTAGTTTCCCTAAACTATTTTTTATTTTTATTTTGTAGATTAACCCTTCAGTTTTTTGCTTTGGAAGGAAAATGCCATACTATTTAGCATTTTATCTCATTGAATTATTGTGGTTGATATAGAGATTGAGTAATTTCCCTTATTTTAGCCCTGCATGCATTTCATGTGAGCCTATGTTTTCTGAATTTCTGGTGTTTTTGAGGTCTACAGAGCAGTTTGGTATTTCATTTATAGCTCTCTTAAGTTCTCTAGGCTTCCTCTTCTTGGCTTTATCAGCTGTGCGTCCACTTTCAGACATTTGTTAACATTTCTTGCCGGGTCCCTTAAATCATGTTGGGATGTTTTCAGCTGCAAATAGAAATCCTGTCTAAAAAGTTAAGAAACTACTTCATATAACGAATCTCAAGGTATTATAGTTAAAGGTGGTTAATCTAGCAGTTTGATGAATCCAGCAAAGATGCAGGTCATTTTCATCTTTTTTCTCTTCAATGTTAATCAGGTATCTGCTATTCTTCTCGTCTCAAGTGGTTATAGCAATTGTGGGTATCAAATTCTCATTAAAGAACATCCAAAGTCTACAGGAGGCCGTTCCTTCCTTGTTTTTTTTGAGATGGAGTCTCGCTCTGTCGCCCAAGCTGCTGTGCAGTGGCGCGATCTCGGCTCACAACCTCCGCCTTCCGGGTTCACGCCATTCTCCTGCCTCAGCCTCCTGATAGCTGAGACTACAGGCACCCGCCACCACACCCAGCTAATTTTTTATGTTTTTAGTAGAGATGGGATTTCACCATGTTAGCCAGGTTGGTCTTGATCTCTTGACCTTGTGATCCGCCTGCCTCGGCCTCCCAAAGTGCTGGGATTACAGGCATGAGCCACCGAGTCCAGCCTGTATTTTGTTTTTAAAGTCAAGTAAAACCTTCCCAGAAGACAGTTAGAATTCATTCATCTTGGCTGGGCATGGTTGCTTACGCCCGTAATCCTAGCACTTCGGGAGGGTGAGGTGGGAGGATCGCTTGAGCCCAGGAATTTGAGACCAGGCTGAGCAATATAAATATAGCCAGACACCCATCTCTATTAAAAAAATAAAAATGAAAAGAATTCATTTATCCCATGCTTATTTGAAAACCATTCACTGTGTATATTTAATTGTATGTGATTAAGGTTGCTATACGTAGACTATCTCTAGACCTTTGCCTCTTTGGAAATTAGATATGCTGGCACTTACTCAACTGTAGTTGGCATTTAAACACAAGATTTTTCAGCTGACCTGATTGTACTTAGTGTCTGAACAGTACATACCTAGACTAGTGAATATGTAACCCGCTGGGGCTGAGAGAATCTTCGCCGGTAAAATACAGGGTCTCAAAATACTGAACAAAATTAAGGTTCTGTGAGAAAGGAAGGAGGGGAATGGGCAATGTGTGGGAATGGCTCTTGGTTTAACAAACGACAGTGTCTGACCATACTCACTTTCCTTTTTTTTTTGGTGTTTGTGGTTGTGATTGTTGTGGTGGTTGGTGTGTGTGTGTGTATTTTCTTTTTAATCAGTCTTGTAGAAGAAGAAAAGATGAATAGGGATATGGCTAGTCTGCCATCTTGAGCAGGAAAGCTGTTAATGCTTTTTAAAAATTGAACCTTGTAAAATACTAAAAATACGCTTACGTGATCCTGTAATCTAAAATCCTGTTATTAAAAGAGGTAAATTCAATATATATTAATCTTCACTTTAGAGTTTGTTTTCTGTTTTTACATACAGTAGTAACACAAATTTAGTAGTTTACAACTATATGTATTTATTAGCTAATAGTTTCTGTGGTTTAAGAGTCTGGGCATGGCCAGCTGGGTCCTCTTCTAGGTTGCACTGAAGATATTGGCCAGGGTTGGGTTCACATTTGGGGCTCTACTGGGGAAGGGTCTGCTTCCAAGCTCATGTGTTCGTTCGTATCATTCATTTACTTTTGGGTTGTGGGAGTAAGGGCCTCAGTTTCCTGATGTCAGTCAGAGACCTCCTTAAGTTGCTTGCTTGTGGCCCTCTCTGTAGATTAGCTTACAGCATAGCAGCTTGTGTCTTGAAAGCCAGCAAGGGAAAAAGTCTCCTATTAAGATATGCATTACAGCCTTAGGTAATTACATACAAATCATTGTCTTTGTCATCATCCTTTTTTTTTTTTTTTTTTTTGAGTCTGTTGCCCAGGCTAGGCTCACTGATGCCTCGACCTCCTGGGGTCAAGCAGTGCTCCCAAGTAGCTGGGACTACAGGCGCAAACTACCATGTCTGGCTAGATTTTGCATTTTTGTAGAGACGGGGTTTTGTTGTGTTGCCCAGGCTGGTCTCGAACTACTGAGTTTTTTTTTTTTGTTTTTTTCTTGAGACTGAGTCTCGTTCTTGTCGCCAGCCTGGAGCGCAGTGGCGCGTTCTCGGCTCACTGCAACTTCTGCCTCCCAGGTTCAAGCGATTCTTCTACTTCAGCCTCCTGAGTAGCTCGGATAACAGGTGCCCACCACCACACCTGGCTAATTTTTGTATTTTTAGTAGAGACGGAATTTCACCAGGTTGGCCAGGATGGTCTCCATCTCTTGACCTCGTGATCCACCCGCCTCAACCTCCCAAAGTTCTGGGATTACAGGTGTGACCCACTGCACCCGGCCCGAACTCCTGAGTTTAAGTGATCTGTCTGCCTCGACCTCCCAAAGTGCTGGGATTACAGGTGTGAGACATTATGCCCTGCTGTCATATTCTGTTGGTTAGAGGTCAATCACAGGTCACATTGGCAGTCAAAGAGAGAGAATTACATAAGGACATGAATACGAGGAAGTGGGGATCATGGAGACCACCTCAGACTCTGTCTCCTACAAAGGATATGCATGTGATTGTAAGAGTGTCTGATGGCATGAATTATGCATTATTTTTCTTTTGAGGCTCCCACTTAATAGCTGTATTGTACTCTATACTAAGGTATTCAAGAAATTTGCTGATGTAGCCAAATATTTAAAGTAATTGAAACAAGCCTTGCTGATGTCTTTGTGGTATTAAATATTGTTGCTAAATAGATTCCATAGTTATAAGTTTATTAATATAGTTTATAGTGTTTTGTGAATTAGATTTTAGACATTTCGTTTTTCCCCCCTTTTTTAGTTGACTATATTGTGGAGTATGACTATGATGCTGTACATGACGATGAATTAACTATTCGAGTTGGAGAAATCATCAGGAATGTGAAGAAACTACAGGAGGAAGGATGGCTAGAAGGAGAACTAAATGGGAGAAGAGGAATGTTCCCTGATAATTTTGTTAAGGTAAGTATTTTCAGTTAAATTTCTAGCTGTTGCTTCATAAGATTTAATCTTTAAATGTTAAGAAGTGGATATACTTTTAAAATTAAAATGTTTTAGGTAAATGTTTTCTTCGTAACATTTGAGAAAATACAGTCCAAGTACCTCTATAATGGATATCGTTGTTGCTCTGTGTCCTAGTGGATAGTAATCCTCTATGTATATGTTTGTGTATATATGCTTGTATATGGTTGTGTGTATCTACCTGGTTACTGATTGTTTTAAAATAAATAATAGCTTTCATTTGGATGGCACTTAGTAATTTATAAAGCAGGCTTGCTGTATATATTCTCATTTCAGCCTGTAGTATTCTTACAAAATAGTTAAGACAGATAGTAGCCCCATTTTAAATATCTGGGTTTTTAGATTGAGAGGTTAAGTGATTTTGTCTACTGTTGGTTAGCTAAGACAGCAGACTTTGAACTGAAGTCTGGGACGGTTACCTCACTGGTCTTCTCATTGTTTTTTGTTGCTTTTCTGACAACAAAATGCATTTGGTTATACTTTTTGTATTTCAGCATTGTAGCAGTTATCAGCCAAACTGTCTTCTTCAACTACTACCAAACATTCATTTTTTAGTAAATATTCTAGTCACTTCTGCCAGAAAACAATCTTTAGGACTCTTATCAATTACAAACTTATAAAATTCTCAGTAGTTTAGGAAGAAAAAAAAGAGTATAGAGTATCTGTATATTTACGTATCAGTTATAATTGTCTTGTTTTCTATGTATTAGTTTTCTTTCTTTCTTTTTTTTTTTTTTTTTTTTTTTACAAAAGAAAGATTTATTGGACTTACAGTTCCACATAGCTAGGAAGGCCTCACAATCATGGTGGAAGGCATGGAGGAATGAGTCACATCGTACGTGGATGGTGGCAGGCAATGAGAGAGCTATTTTGTGCAGGGAAACTCCTCCTTACGGAACTATCCGATCTTGTGAGACTTATTCATTACCATGAGAACAGCATAGGAAAGACCTGCCTCTGTGATTCAGTTACCTCCCACTGGGTCCCTCACACAACATGTGGAAATTCAAGATGAGATTTGGTGGGGAAATAGCCAAACTATATCAGATGGTCTCACAAAGATTTCTTAAAATTGTAGTCATAGCATGATTTTGATGATTCAATTCCAAATTTTTTTTTTTTAATTTAGTTCTAGGGTACATGTGTACAACGTGCAGGTTTGTTACATATGATATACATGTGCCATGTTGGTGTTGCTACACCACATAACTCATCATTTACATTAGGTATATCTCCTAATGCTATCCCTCCCTCTACCCCCTCCCCCACAATAGGACCGTGTGTGATGCTCCCTTTCCTGTGTCCAAGTGATCTATTGTTCAGTTCCCACCTATGAGTGAGAACATGCGGTATTGGTTTCTTGTTCTTGAGTAGTTTGCTGAGAATGATGGTTTCCAGCTGCATCATGTCCCTACAAAGGCCGAACTCATCCTTTTTTTATGGCTGTAGTATTCCATGGTGTATATGTGCCACATTTTCTTAATCCAGTCTTGCCACTGATGGACATTTGGGTTGATTCCAAGTCTTTGCTATGTGAATAGTGCTGCAATAAACATATGTGTGCATGTGTCTTTATAGCAGCGATGATTATATCCTTTGGGTATAATCCCAGTAATGGCATGGTTGGGTGAAATGGTATTTCTAGTTCTAGATATTGAGGAATCGCACACATGTTTTCCACAATGGTTTGAACTAGTTTACAGTCCCACCAACAGTGTAAAAGTGTTCCTTTCTCACATGCCTCTCAGCACCTGTTGTTTCCTGTTTTTTAATGATTGCCATTCTAACTGGTGTGAGATGGTGTGGTTTTGATTGGCATTTCTCTTGATGGCCAGTGATGATGAGCATGTTTTTCATGTGTTGTTGGCTGTATGAATGGCTTCTTTTGAGAAATGTCTGGTTCATTATCCTTTGCCCACTTTTGATGGTTTTTTTTTTTTCTTATAAATTTGATTGAGTTCTTTATAGGTTCTGGATATTAGCCCTTTGTCAGATGAGTAGATTGCACAAAATTTTTTCCATTGTGTAGGTTGCCTGTTCACTCTGATGGTAGTTTCTTGTTGCTGTGCAGGGCTCTTTAGTTTAATGGAAGATCCCATTTGTCAATTTGGCTTTTGTGCTGTTGCTTTTGGTGTTTTCAATGAGTCCTTGGCCCATGCCTATGTCTGAATGGTATTACCTAGGTTTTTCTTCTAGGTTTATCGGTTTTAGGTCTAACATTTAAGTCTCTAATCCGTCTTGAATTAATTTTCTGTATAAGGAGTAGGATAAGCGGATCCAGTTCAGCTTCTCTATTATGGCTAGCAATTTTCCCAGCACCATTTATTAAATAGGGAATCGCTTTCCCCAATTTCTTGTTTTTGTCAGGTTGTCAAAGATCAGATGGCTGAAGATGTGTGGTATTATTTCTTGAGGCTCTGTATCTGCTTCCAATTGGTTCATATTTCTGTTTTGATGGTACAGTACCATCGCGTTTGACAAAATAGTTTTTAAACCCCCCCGGTGTAGCACTTGTGAGTATAGTTGAAGTCAGGTAGCGTGGATTGCTACCAGCTGTTTCTTTAGCTTGTGATTGTCTTGGCAAGTGTGGGTGGTCGTTTTTTTGCGGTTCCATACTTGGAACTTTAAGCACAGTTTTCTCCCAATCTCTGCTGAAGAACAGATCACTCGTGCATTAGGCTTAATGTGGGTGATGGCGTTGAATCTAATAAACTACTGTATGGGCCGAGTATGCGCGATTTTACATGTATGATTTCCCTATCCATGAGCATGGTAGTATGTTCTTCCATTTGTTTGTGTCCTCTTTATTTTACTGAGCCTAGATGGTTTGTAGTTCTCCATTGAAGAGGGTCCGTTTAATCCTGTAGTGGTCCTAGTATTTATTCTCTTTGATAGCAATTGTGAATGGGAAGTTTCATTCATGATTTGGTCTCTGTTTGTCTGTTACTGGTTGTATAAGAATGCTGCTGGATTTTTGCACATTGTATTTTGTATATCCTTGAGACTTTGCCTGAAGTTGCTTATCAGCTTAAGGAGATTTTGGGCTGGAGCATTGGGGTTTGTCCTATAAAATATACAAATCAGATGTCATCTGGCAACAAGGGGACAATTTGACTTCTTCTTTTCCTAACTGAATACCGTTTATTCATTTCTTTCTCTTGCCTGATTTCCCTAGCCAGAATTCCAACACTATGTTGAATAGGATAGTGGTGAGAGAGGGATCCCTGTGTCTTGTGCCAGTTTTTCAAAGGGAATGCTTCCAGTTTTGCCCAATTCGGTATGATTATTGGCTGTGGGTTTGTCATAAATAGTTCTTTACTATTTTGAGATATGTTCCATCAATACCGAATTTATTGAGAGTTTTTATGCATGAAGGGCGGTTGAATTTTGTCAAAGGCCTTTTTGCATCTATTGAGATAATTATGTGGTTTTTGTTTTGGTTCTGTTTATATGCTGGATTATGTTTATTGATTTGCTATATGTTGACCAGCCTTGCATCCAGGGATGAAGCCCACCTTGATCATGGTGGAAAAGCTTTTTGATGTGCTGCTGGATTCGGTTTGCCTATATATTTATTGAGGATTTTTGCATTGATGTTCATCAGGGATATTGGGTCTAAAATTCTCTTTCTTTGTTTTATCTCTGATCGGCTTTGGTATCAGGGTGATGTTGGCCTCATAAAATGAGTTAGGAGAGAATTCCCTCTTTTCTATTGATTGGAACTAGGTTTCAGAAGGAATGGTACCAATTCCTCCTTGTACTCTGGTAAGAATTCGGCTGTGAATCCGTCTGGTCTTGGACCTTTTTTGGATTGGTAGGCTGTTAACTATTGGCCTCAATTTAGAGCCTGGATATACCTGGTCTTTTCAGGGTTCAGCTTCTTCTGGTTTAGTCTTGGAGGTGTAAGTGTCCAGGGAATTATCCATTTCTTCTAGGTTTTTCTAGTTTATTTGCTTAGAGGTGTTTATAGTATTTCTGATGGTAGTTTGTATTTCTGTGGGGTCGGTGGTGATACCTTTTCATATTTTTATTGCATCTATTTGATTCTTCTCTCTTTTCTTCTTGATTAGTCTTGCTAGCGCTATCAATTTTGTTGATCTTTTCAAAAAACCAGCTCCTGGATTCATTGATATTTTTTGGAGGGTTTTTTGTGGTCTCATCTCTTCAGTTCTGCTGATCTTAGTTATTTCTTGCCTTCTACTAGCCTTTTGAATGTGTTTGCTTCTTGCTCCTCTAGTCTTTTAATTGTGGATGTGTAGGGTGTCAATTTTAGATCTTTCCTGCTTTCTCTTGTGGCATTAGTGCTATAAATTTCCCTTTAACACTGCTTTAAATGTGTCCCAGAGATTCTGATATGTTGTATCTTGTTCTCATTGGGTTTCAAAGAACATCTTTATTTCTGCCTTCATTTCGTGATGTACCCAGTAGTCATTCAGGAGCAGGTTATTCGCAGTTTCCATGTAGTTGAGCGGTTTGATTGAGTTTTTAGTCCTGATATCTATGTTGATTGCACTGTGGTCTGGAGACAGTTTGTTATAATTTCTGTTCTTGTACATTTGCTGAGGAGTGCTTTACTTCAACTATTTGGTCAAATTTTTGGAGTAAGTGCGATGTGGCGCTGAGGAGAATGTATATTCTTTTGATTTGGGGTGGGAGAGTTCTGTAGATGTCTATGTCTATTAGGTCTGCTTGATGCAGGTTGAGTTGAATTCTGGATGTCCTTGTTAACTTTCTTTCTGTTCTTTGTCTGTTAATGCTTGACAGTGGGGTATTAAAGTCTCCCATTATTATTGTATGGGAGTCTAAGTCTCTTTGTAAGTCTCTAAGGACTTGCTTTGTGAATCTGGGTGCTCCTGTATTGGGTGCACATAATACCTAATACAGTGTAAATGTTATGTAAATAGTTGTTATGCAGTGTCACAATTGGTGAGTCCACAGTT